AATGTCTTTATCATCACTTTTGATCAATTTAAAGCATCCTTGCTAAATAAAAGTGTTCATTTCTATAATTTATTTTCCAAAAAATAAAAATTATACTGACTCTAAGCTTTTGAATGGTATAGTGTGTTACAAAAGCTTTTTATTTCACATAAATGCTGATCTTTGGATCCTTCTATTCATCAAAGAATCCTGAAAAAATGTACTCAACTGTTTTGAATATTGATAATAATAATAATAATAATAATAATAATTAAAAATGGTTTCTTGAGCAGCAAATCAGCATATTAGAATGATTTCTGAAGGATCATGTGACACTGAAGACTGGAGTAATGATGCTGAAAATTCAGCTTTGATCACGGCAATCATTTTAAAATATATTCAAATAGAAAGCAGTTATTTTAAATAGTAAAAATATTTCACACCATTACTGGTTAGGCTATTCAGTGTATACAGGTGACTTGATGATGTGAACGTTGAAGAAGTAGATTTCAGAATTTAAATTGTGATCTGAGAAATGTACCAAAGTGACCCTTTGATACATGTATACATGGCCATCTGTGATAGTTTCTTTTTGTCTGACTTCAGTTTTCCCTCTGTATAGTCTTATTCATCTGCTTTGGTCTCTGGCTGCTTCCTCCTTTCCTCACTTCTGTCATCTCTTCCTCTCATCTTTTTTATTTTAGAGTTGCTGATGGCAAGTGAGCATGCCATTCAAATGCAGAAGGGGGAGATTCTTGAAGAGCGTGACTCGAAAACACATCTTTGCTATACGTTGCAGGGAGTGGAGAAGATCATGAAGCGGGTGTGTCATAAAACGTTGCTATCATATTACTAATGGCGTGATATAGCAATTGTGTTAAGTACGTTGAAATAAAAGATTAGAGATGAGTGGTTTTACAGTAATAAAATACAATAATAGGAATTACAATAATCATCACGAGAACTTATAAAGCCTAAAATGCTTTGTAAAAATTAAGGTCAGAGTTGAAACTTTATTTTAATATAGAAATGTAATGTATGAGAAAGTGTATAAAATAAATTGTTCTAATTTAGATGAATAGATTTATATACAGATAGATAGATAGATAGATAGATAGATAGACAAATAGACGGCATAAAAGTCTGTGTCCCCACTTTAAAGGGATAGTTCACCCAAAAATTAAAATCTGATGTTTATCTGCTTACCCCCAGGGCATCCGAGATGTAGGTGACTTTGTTTCTTCAGTAGAACACAAACGGAGATTTTGAACTCAAACCGTTGCAGTCTGTCAGTCGTATAATGTAAGTGGATGGGAATCACGACTTTGAGAGTCATAAAACATACACAAACAAAACCAAATTAAGCCCTGCGTATCGTGATGATGCATTGATGTGTAAAGACACAAAATGATCGGTCTGTGCAAGAAACTGAACAGTATTTATATCGTTTTTTACCTCTGATTTTCACCACAAAGTCTGAACTGTCCTGAGTGCGTTCGCGTCTTCTTCTTCAGCCTGCACGTGAGGCGTCTTCTTCTTCTTGCTTTACGGCGGATCGCAGACTTATAAGTGCATTACTGCCACCTATCTCTCAAATGGACCATTGACACTCTATCTACAATCTCAATTAGGAGTGTCAATGGTCCATTTGAGAGATAGACGCCTCACGCAAAGGCTGAAGAAGAAGACGCGAACGCGCTCAGGACAGTTCAGACAGTCTCAGTTTGTGTTCTATTGAAGAAACAAAGTCACCTACATCTTGGATGCCCTGGGGGTTCATTTTTGGGTGAACTATCCCTTTAAGATATGATGTTTTTGGCTTTGACCTTTATGAGTTTGTCCACTAATTGAAATCATATAACATCATAATTTTGACAATGATAACCTGTTTATAATGGCATGAATTGATATTTACAGTGGAGGACATACTAAGTACTAGAATATTATACATTTGTTGAATTAAATCTAGGGTGTCTACTCATTTCTGCAATCTTTCAATTAAACTAAATTGGCTAATTTACTTATTTTACAGATATTAATAACATATTTCTCTGTTGTTAAGTATATATTTAATACATTTAAATTTTGCCATCTTTCAATGAATTGTATTAGTGATCATTAAAAAAATACATCTAATACAGCTACGCATTTATGCTGTGCACTATATATGTGTGTGTGTGTGTGTGTGTGTGTGAGAGAGAGAGCGAGAGAGAGACTATGTGTGACTATCTATTTTATATCCATTGTATAGGGCACTCACTGTGTGTTACCGCTGGGTTTGGACTGTGTGCGTCGTCTCCACCGTGGCGAAATCTTCCCCATCATCATCTACATCATGTCTTCAGAGAGGAGTCTCCGCAAATTGAGGTACTATAATTTCCTCCATGAAACTTGTCACAATTAAACTAAAAGCTGGTTTGATTTAAAGATTTAAAGATAACACAAAAAATGCTCTTCTGGGAGCATCACTATTGCTATATTTATCTGTTCTGTCATTGTTTTCTAGACACAAACTACGGCAGAATGTTTTGACTGAGTCCCAGGTGCTAGAGTGTTCCTGCAGCGAGGAGCCCCTTCTGGATAAACTGCCCTGCCTTTACCAGAGCATTCCACCAGAGAGCTGGCATGACAGTACCACCCTAATTGACACTCTGAAAACTGTGGTGACAGAGGAGCAGCAAAAGATTGTGTGGGTTGAGTCAGATACCTGGTGAAAGAGTAACGGGAATGAGAGCATAAATTCAAAATACCCTCACCACAATTTTAGAGTATTAAGGCCAATTTAACCACTGCTTAGGATGTAGCCTGATGTGCACCTCTCCAGAAATGCTGTGAGATGCTGTGAACCACAAACCTTCCCCTAGGATGATTTAAAAAAAAAAAAAAAAAATCTGCAGTAGTTTCGCATCCATTGGGAATGAATAATAAAGCCTGATTGCTTAAAGCTTCTGATGAAAGCAGGCTGGACAGAGATGATCATAAACCATAAATTAATTTAGTGACCCAAAACATCCATATTCAAACAACGTTGTTTATCCATACAACACTATTGATCATGATTAAAAGAGAATTCCACTAAACATTTATTAACCAATGCACAGAGGTAAAAAATATATATATAATGGGCCTTTTAGATAGAGGTAAACTGAAAAGCACATCCTGTGCATTTAGAGCAAAAAAAAAAAATGGAGGTCTGCTGCAAAGCTAAAAAGTTGTACACTACCATTCAAAAGTTTGAGGTCAGTAGGATATTTTAAATATTATACTTTTATTCAGGTAGCACACATTGAATTGATTTACAGTGCCAGTAAAGACTTACATTGTACAAAAAAATTGTTTTTCACAAATGCTTTCTATTCATCCACTTCTGAAAAAAAGTATTACCATTTCCCCTAGAATATTAAGCAGAACAACTGTTTTCAACATAAATAATAATACAAAATGTTACTTGAGTACCAAATCAACATATCAGAATAATTTTCAGGATCATGTGACAGTGAAGACTGCAGTAACGGCTCCTTGAAAATTCTGCTTTGCCATCACAGGAATAAATTACATTTTAAAATATATTAAAACAGGAAGAAGTTATTTTAAATCATAATATTACTTCACAATAATACTGTTTTTACTGTATTTTTCATCCATTAGATGTTGAGCATTTTTAGACTTTTGAACGGCAGTGTGTAGTTTATGTAAAAAGTAATGTTTCAACATTCTCAGATAAGGCCTTTGTCCTGAACCCTGAGGGTTCCATGACTATCATCCAGTGTATGTGCCAGCGCTTAAAGGATTTTTTTTTCTTTCTAAATATTAAAGTATTGCTTAGAAATAGGTACACAAGGTGCTTTATTGGGACTTGTTGGTAAGGTGCATGCTATATATATTTTAATAACTATAGTCTGAATACTCTATAATACTGTTCCACTCTTTTGAAGGATCTGGAAGGAAAAATAATTACATTGAAGGAAGCTGTAAATCATATCCATTGAGGGGTATTTGAATAATTTTAATAAGCTATTGTCACAACCGCACAACGGATTAATATTAAATCAGATTTCACTGACCATCTGTGTATAAAACAGTCAGTGGAATTTATTTACAAGGAGTCAGTTACCTAAGTTACATTAAGTAGCAACAGAGCATAAAATCCAGCTGATATTCTACTTAATAGTGTTGTTTACCCCAGGCTCACAAATAGAGATCTTATTCTTTACTGCTAATGACTAAGACGTCATTACTGCACAAAAAAATGAGGATATAGAGCACTGCTAGAGCATTTTCCCCTCAAGCCTTATATCTTATCCGCCCTGTATGCATTCCGCCAGACCAAACTGTCTGTTTGTTATACACTGTGAATTGTTTTGACTCAGTTATTGTTTTTGTAAAACAAAAAATGTGAACACTTTTCACAGATTGAAAACCGACAGTTTAAAACTGAGAGCAAGTAATTATTGTATAGTGTGTTATAGATAATACACATTACAATGTTAATGTTCTCTTTTATATTTGTATATTCTATTTCATTAGAAATTCTATGACATTTGTGTACAATTCTGTTGTAGAGTATATATCTTTGATTATGTAAACATTTGTATTTTTCTTCTCCTCTGATGTGTACAAAATAAACACTTTGTTTCTTGATCAAAGGATGAATGTTGAACAGGAACCACAGCAGATTTCTATGTATTTGTGTCATTCCTGTTTTTAACCAAGACGTAAACAACTAGGAAAAACCTGTCCAGCAGCAACATGCCCTTCATCGACACTAAACCACAAATGTGTAGTTTCCCATAACATGAGAGATGTTAGGAAGCATTTTAACAATGTAAACAAGAATAACAATTAATCATCACAAGAGAACATGTAAAGCCTACAAAAATGCTTTGTGAAAATTAAGGTCAGAGAGGTGAGACATTATTTTAAATAACAGAGTCAGACAGACAGATATATAGATAGAATTATATTATTATTAAAAAACCCATACAACTATATATATATATATACAGGTGCATCTCAAATTAGAATGTCGTGGAAAAGTTCATTTATTTCAGTAATTCAACTCAAATTGTGAAACTCGTGTATTAAATAAATTCAATGCACACAGACTGAAGTAGTTTAAGTCTTTGGTTCTTTTAATTGTGATTGTATATATATATATATATATATATATATATATATATATATATAATAGTTGATAAAAACATATAGTATTGTCTTGTGAAATGTGATGCAGTGTTCAAGGTCAGACTAGGCATAACGCCACATAACACCAACAAGAACTGTGTCTAAAGATTGTTATTGTTATTGTTATTATTATTACATTTACTATCGTGATTATATTGATTTCTACTTCCACTTATTTTCTACCACAAGAGGGAGCCAAAGAGCAGTGGAAAAATAAAAGGGAGTGGTTGAGCACGGGCGAAAAAAGAAAATACGGTGTTTTGGAGAATTGAAAGGATAAGTAGAGACTCTCTTTTTAATACACAAAATATGGCTCCTAGTTCATATAAATAATTTTGCTGGAGTAGTCGTCTTGTTTTCAGCTGTTGGTTTGTACTGTTGCTTTGGCTTTTCTGTTTGCTGTAGAGATCATGCTAAGCCAAATCAATGCACATGCTTTTCTTCTATTGACTTTAGTATCGTACAGCACTTCACCAAATCAATTTCCTCGCCGAGCGGGCGAAAAAAGAAAATACGGTGTTTTGGAGAATTGAAAGGATAAGTAGAGACTCTCTTTTTAATACACAAAATATGGCTCCTAGTTCATATAAATAATTTTGCTGGAGTAGTCGTCTTGTTTTCAGCTGTTGGTTTGTACTGTTGCTTTGGCTTTTCTGTTTGCTGTAGAGATCATGCTAAGCCAAATCAATTCACTTCTATTGCTTCTATTGACTTTAGTATCGTACAGCACTTCACCAAATCAATTTCCTCGCCGAGGCCGATTTTTTTTTTTTTTGTTTGTTTGTTTTTCTTGGTTCCACTGGGGTTCTGGAACCCCTCTGGTTGCCAGGAAACGGCCCGAGTGATTTGTTGTGTGTGTCGGAGTAAATGAGATGGTGACAAACCCTCTCAGAACATGCAACCAAACCACTGCGTTTGGGATTAGAGAGAAGGGCTGACAGATATGATTTGTGTGGTGGAACACACGTACTAATGCTTAAACAAATGAATACAGTACTTCCACCATAGTCAGATTTGTTCTCATCTGGTTTCGTGACTGGGCTGACTCGTTGTGGTTTGACCTTTTTCATTCTGACAAAGATGCCATTTTATTATAGTGAAGATGATGTTCAAACCCCACTTTAGGTCCTGCCATTTATGAGTGCAGTCATTCATTTATAGTGATATTTATTAACTGTTTTCAAAACATGTCCTTCAGACATGTCTCAAGCCCTCAAGCAACTGTGTATTTATTTGCTTATTTGTTTATTAATTAATTAATTTTCATAATATTCATAAGAGTTTTAAACAACAGTTTTTCAGATCATGATTTTCATTCATTCATTCGTTAATAGGATTCTGTTCTTTATTTAAACAATTCATTTAAATTATTTAAAACCATTGTATCAGGTTTGTTCTTCAGGAATGATTGCATCATGTTAAACTGGCTTGAAATGGTTACTTTTAGGCGTAACTGTTTTCATTTTGAAAGAACATGTTTCAGTCAAGTAAATAAAAATAAGTTTTACACTTCCCATCATGCTTTGCACAGGACTGGATATGGGGAGAGAAAATGCTGAAATAAAGTGCTATTTTATTTTATTTTATTATTATTATTTTAGCAAGATACAAAAATAGGGAGAAAAGTAAATGTCTAATGTTCTATTATGTTGGTATTTTAACAGACTTTCTGTTATGTTGGTGTTTTTGGGCGAGTTACCATTGTGGTGAAGCCACAAAGTTACTTTAATTGGAGTAAAGTATAATATAATAAAATAAAATAATTCTAATGGGAGTGCTAGGGATGTAAATAATGTCATGTTTTGATTGCCAACATGAAACATGTCTGTAAAGAAAAGTTATATTTAATTTGTGTGTAGGTTATGGTAACATTTTGTCTTAACTGGTTCTACACAATTGGAAACATGTTATCTGTATTCAAATACTTCATGTAGGATGCGAACTGAGTAAACTCAACTAGAATTAGATATGTTCAAATAACATGATTCAATCCCGTGGACTGTTGTGCCCAATTCTGACCCCTGCCAGATTATTACCCCCCTAGTATTGGTAGGTTTAGGGTTAGGTGTGGGGGAGGGGTTAAGATTAAGTGTGGGGTTAGGATTAGGCAATCAGATAGCGATTTCAACAAGAGGGGTAATAATTTGGCAGGAGGTCGAAAATGGGCACAACAGGACCACTGACCATGATTGAATCATGTTTAACTAAAGAGTTATTTTTGTGATTGGCTTCAGTTTTGTGTGTGTGTTTTAATGGTTTTATTAAACGCCTCTCAACTCCTGATAATTTATTAATTCATTCACTCACTCATTCACTTTATTTATTGTTCTTTTGTTTGTAACAAACACAGTAACATGGGCATGATTCAAAGTTATTGTTCTTACTGTCAGTTGATATTATCTTTGAACTCTTGCTCTAACTGTTGGCTTTCTTGTATTGTATGGCCAACCATTTTTCTTTGACTTTTTAAAGTACAGAAAATATATATAATGAGTGTAAATCAGCTCTAAATGTTCTAAATATGCATGGGAACCTTGACACACTGCTGGGTCATGAGTTCAGAACAGACAGCAGTGGGTCTGAGTTTTTAGGAGAGTCCAACTGTGAATCACAGATAATCTATCCAGCACATAGAGAAATTATCCTCACAACACTGGAAATTGAATTTGGAAATGTGTTTAGCTTTAGAAACTGGAGGAGAAAAGGTTGGGGGAGGGAGCTAGACAAATTCAGAGAAAGAAAAAATCACAACCCTTTTATCACTGGTGCGGTTTCAGGGTTATTTGAGAGTGTTAAGAGTTGTGTAGCTGTGTACTGGGAAACTGAACAGATACCTGGGGATAATATACACAGGGTTTAAGGAACCATTACTGAGAGTGCAGCAGAGTGTGTGTGGTCTGTATTACCTCTACAGACATATCTGTGTGTGTGTGTGTGTGTGTGTGTGTGTGTGTACGCAAGTGTGTTGAGATCTTTCATGTATCTACACAGCCTGCAGTTGTGGAAGCTTCTCCTTTGGTTACCACGGCAGAGCCTCCCTCCTCATGTTGCCAGGAGACGTATAGTCCAGATGCACTGTCAGGGGGAATTAAGCTCAGACAAGCTGATTTTAGTGTCTGTCCGATTTACTTCAGAGTGCTGTAGCACAGAGTCACTCAGGCAGCACCCTGTTTGTAATAGAATGCCTTTAACTGTTTCTGTTTCTAAGTTTCAGTGAGAGAGCAGATCACAGGTTAGTAGGTGGTTCCATTGCAATAGTCAAATTGTCTATAATTGCCAGATCCAACATTATTAATGGAGCTACAGATTTGGGGGTGAATGACATGTCACTCTTATTTATTTGTTTGTTTGTTTACAAATATATTTAAAAGCACCACAAATGACTTGACTTCACTGCTTACATGATGAGCATATTTTATTTTCAGAATTAACCATATAAAGTCATGGAGCATATTTTGTGTCAGAATTTGAGGTTGGTAAGTTTGTGAGCTATGAATAAGAATATTAATTTTATTTGTATGGGGGGGGGGGGGGGAGGTGGGGGGGGGGGGCGAATGCAAATTCAGACCTTATTTATGGTATTTTATATAACAAATGCAAAATTGATGAAGCTTTTAAGAAGGTTTAGATTCTAAGCTTTAAAAATACACTATATATAAATATTAAACAAAAACACACACACACACACACACACACACGTGATGACGCACTTCCCAACCTGGTACCGGGTTTACAACCTTAAGAGGTAAAAATTAATTCTGATATATATAAAGTCTGAAATGTCAGGGTGATACAAACTTCTAGGTAATTGAAGAAATAAATCAAAAAATAAATACATTTAAAAAATGAAATTCTTCTTTCTAAAACTGTTTGACACTCGTGCCTCTGTAACATTAAATATATTTTGAGATTTTTTTCAATGGTCACAAAAACTATTTGGTTGGTTACCAACATTCTTCAATATTTATATATAATAGTATATTGAAGAAACCATCATGAATACATCGTGGATACCCTTTCTTGTGTCAATGATCTATGTACTGAATGTTTTTATTTTACTGTTCATATCCCAAGGTCTGCTCAAAAACAAAAGTGAATCCACGATGTTAAACAATATATTAAAGTTTGAACAAAACGTGCAAGAGACCATGTATACAAACCACAATGCTTATAAATATATGGAGCAGGATCCTTCTTCAAAATAGTCTAAGGCATATATTGAATGAAATGAAAGCAATTAACTTTTTTAATCCTGTGGGAATACCTGAGGATTTACAATAAAATGAGTGCTTTATTTTGCTCCTCATGTACTCTCACTGAAAATTTGCAAATAATTAACAGTTTCTGCTTTGATTCTAAGCAGTGAAGGTTTTTTGCAGCCTTCTTGCATGCTGAGGCTGTGTGTATTTGTCACGCCTGTGCAGACGTGTAACTAAAAACGTGTTACTTTGCGCTCAGCGTGTGTGACAGCCAGCAGTGTGATACCTGGCTTATGCCACACTAGTGCCCTCAGGTGGCAGATCAAACTAGTGGGGGCTCCCCGTCTCACAAACGCTCCCTCTACAGTACATCCACAGGTTGCCAGATCTCACCCTATACTCTCCTTTACAGTACAAGATGCCAGACTGTTCATCTGTAATTTCCCTGTCTGCTCTGGTTGCTTGCTTTATAATCCCTGACCATACATGTTCTTTTTAAACTACTTCACAGGATGCTCAATGCAATGACATTTGCATTTAACACCTTTCCTTTTCCCCCTTAAAGGCCTCAATCAAACCACTGGGGTTGCCAGATTCCACTCACACCTTCTCTAACTGTGCAGGTGGTCATATCTCTCCAAACCCCTTGCCAGGCGATGCGTTGTCTGTAGTCTTGAATCCAGCTGGACTGGCTCATTATCTCCAGATGACACCAGCAGGAAGAGCAGATGCCTTGTGGCCACGCTTGGCTCAGCTGTGAGCTAGAACATTCATCACACTCCCAAATCTCAGTCCTGATACTGAACTAACCATGGACCCCTCCATGACAAAACATGCTGAACTATGATGCATAGAAGCTCTTTTTATGGTCATACCAATATCAGTGGTTAAAAGGAATATCTACAAGAAGATACTATAGTATCATAATTAGTGAATGAGAATGAAACAGAAAGTTTTTTTTTTTTTTTTGTGATGGAGCAAGTTCTAAGATTGTTATTGTTGTAGTATGTAGGTCAGATCCATAAACAAGAGAGAGCACTATCACTGTGTCTTTTTAAAGCTACTCATTTATTTATGCGTGTGTATTTGTGTGCATGTGTGTGGCATAGGCAGCAGGTCTGCTAGATTAGAGAATGAAAACAAATCAAAGCAATGCTGCCAGAATTTGATTAAACCAGCTTTAGAATGCCTGTGTCAGCGAGTGTGAGTTTGTGTAGGAGGGGCCATCTCTGATTTGTATGTGGTTTTGGTTTTTTGTTTGTATGTGTGTGTGTGTGTCTGTATGTGTGTATCTTTCTGCAGACAGATGTGTTAGTATAGTTGTGTGTATGTGAACACACTAGTGCAAGCAATCTTTATCTCTCTCTGTTATTATATACACCCTCTGCAGTGTGTCTCTGTATGGACTTCCTTCCTGTCTACTTGCCTGTAACAAGAAAAGAAGCTGAAGTCAGGAAATTATATTTTTAATCTGCCCCCTGCAAAGAGCTTTTCTTGTTAAAGCTGCAGTTGGAGAGGACAGATCATAACCGACTCAGGATTCTATTAAAGCTTCATCTGATCCTTCCTCATACTGTCTACTCTCTTTTCATCTCACTCTCTCTTTCTCACACCTGTTCTGTCTCTCTTGCACACCTAGATTCACACTCTTGATTCGCCAGAACCTTTTGCGTTCTCTCAGTTTTCAGTCTTTTAATTCATAAGCATAATAAATGAACAAAATGGCATATACATGTCATTTTATAATATAAAGCTCTCCTAGTTGGCTTCTAAGACAATTTATTCAGGGCTGCATGATTATATAAACCCCTCTGAGTTTTTCAAACAGGATATGTGACCCGGAGGAAAAAACAAACACGGCATTCACTGATGGCAGCCAGTGTTACATTTGAATTGAGTTGTCAATGAAAATATTTTTTGTGATTAGGCATGAAATCCTCAGTTTTATAAATTAGATCACAGTTTAGATCACATCATGATCCTGTGAAACTGATGAGTGAATGAACATTGAGACAAATGAGAGTCAGTGTCTTCATTTCGTGCCTCCCCTCAAGCTGACTGCTGGTGAGCATGCAAATAGCTATTGACATTTCAAAATGCAACTCTTTCTCACTCTCTACTTCTCTTAAAAGCCCATGTCATTCTGATTACCTAATGAAAACCCCAAGTGTTTTATTGATTGAAGTTGCTCTGTCCATTATTACCTTATAAGTCTTGCACATTTGTCTCATGTTCTTGCATTAGTCTCACTGTGACTGGTTTGGTTGTTAACAATGCCTTGCCTATGTCAACCAGATTGGTGTAAGAGCCATGTGACTGATGATCTCTAATGCTGTGTTTGACATTAGAAAGCCAGCAAAGGTGCTGAACTCACTTAGATTCCTGCACCAATAAATCGAGCAATAACGGGAGAGGGGGAGGGGGTTATTGGCCTATCTCAAAGAGAAGAGATAGAGAAAGGGATAGAGAGAAACTGAGAAAAAGAAAGCTAGAGTTCTGAGGATGGAAAGAGAGATAAAAAAAGAGAGATGGCAGGAAGGAAGGAAAAAGAGAGAGTATGAGAGTGAATGAATACAAAAAGGCAGAGTGGATAAGTTGACTTTTATAGCCTCGTGATTTTTCCTTCAAACACAACCTATATTACAGAGACCTTTGGTTCGCTGGATTTTAAAATAAAA